AAGTCCTATGAGGAGAGGCTGAGGGAGCTGGGGTTGTTTAGTCTGGAGAAGAGAAGGCTTAGAGGTGACCTCATCACTCTCTTCAACTACCTGAAGGGAGGTTATAGCCAGGTGGGGGTTGGGCTCTTCTCCCAGGCAACCAACAATAGGACAAGGGGACATGGGCTCAAGCTCTGCCAGGGGAGGTTTGGGTTAGATGTTAGGAAGAAATTCTTTACAGAGAGGGTAATCAAGCATTGGAACAGCCTACCCACAGAAGTGGTGGATTCACCATCCCTGGAGGTTTTTAAGCAGAGATTGGATGTGGCCCTTAGTGCCATGATATAGTAATTGGAGTTGGATCAGGGGTTGGACTTGCTGATCTTGGAGGTCTTTTCCAACCCAATCTATTCTATGATTCTATGATTCTATGATTAGGAAGAATTTCTTCACAGAAAGGGTGATTAGACATTGGAATGCACTGCCCAGGGAGGTGGTGGAGTCACCGTCTCTGGAGATGTTTAAGGAAAGACCGAGCATGGTACTTAGTACCATGGTCCTGTTGACAGGGTGGTGTTCGTTCATAAGTTGAACGCCATGATCTCAGAGGTCTTTTTCCAAAATAACTGATTCTCGGATTCTGAGGAAAACTCGCTCGTAACCGTGAGAGCAGCAGTCCAGCCGCTCTCCCCCGGCACTGACCTGCAGGTGCCGCGGTTGTCACCGCTCCGGCCCTTGGCCGGATCAGGGGAAAGGCATTGCCTCCCTCAAGACTCCGAGCCGCGGCAGCCCCGCCTGTGCCGGCCCACGGTCCGTACCGCGGGGAGGCGGGACCCGCTGCCCGGGCAACAGGACCCTGCGGCTGCTCCTCCCTCGCCAGCGCGGGGCGGGCGGCGGCGCGAGCAGGCGCAGAGCGAAGGCACCTCCCGCCTGCCCCGCACCGGCACCGGCACCGGCACCGGCACCGCAGCATCCCGGCCGCGCCTCCGCCGCTCTCAGCCCCGGGGCTGCTTCGCCGGGGGCTCGCCCTGTGCAGGGCGCCGTCGGGACTCCATCGGCGCGGCCTCTGCGAAGGACACCGCTCGCCGCCAGCCATGGACGGGGACAGGGTGGAGATAGACGGCGGGATCATGGAGGGGGTGAGCGCCAGCGGCGGGCCCCGGGCTGCGGTCCCGGCCGGGCGGTGCCGCAGCGCCTGACGAGCGCCGTTTCTCCGAGCAGGGTGGGCAGATCCTGCGGGTGTCCACGGCGCTGAGCTGCCTGCTGGGGCTGCCGCTGCGGGTGCGCCGGATCCGCGCCGGGCGGAGCCAGCCCGGCCTCAGGTGAGACCCGCCCCGGGCGGCCCTGGGGCGCTCGGCCGATGGCTTAGGGCGTGCGGGGCCCTCCCGGGGCCGCGCAAAGAGCCTCGGCTGCTCTCGTCTGAAACACTGGTGTTTCCATTGCTTTGAGAAAGCCTTGTTAGCAGCAAATGCCGTCTGTGGCTCTCGAGGAGTGAGTGCGGGGGAGAGCTAGGGATGAACCGGGCTCGGTCCCGTCGCCCGCTGCCGGGGCAGGTGTGGGCGCGGTTCGGCTGCCGCCTCGGAATGATTCCAGAGGTGCTAAGCGGACACACGGAATGAAACACGAAATACAGTCATGTAATGCCTCAGCGAGACGTGGCTCACCGAATGTACAGTGTTAAGAAGAGCTAGTGTATTTTCTATGTAAGTTACCCAGACAAATGGAAACGCAAGCACAAGAAGACACATCCATAGCAAACCTGATCGCTCTCCTGTGGCACTGCAGCTGGTTCTGGCACGGCCAGTATTGCCGTCCTTATCCATTCCATTTCTGTCCAAGTGTTTATCACATTAGGACAAGCAACTGCTCCTGCATCTCATCTGTCTGTCTGGACTCATTCTAATGGAAAAGATACCAGAATCCTGCATACTCCAGAATGGCCTGAATGCTGCTCCTTTGGCTCCTGTGAACTCAGGAGAAGTACTGTAGAAACCAGAGCGAATTTCTGGCCCTTGACTGATCAGAAATT